GAACGCACACCCTTTTTGGAGTATAAAATTTGCCAAATCAGATCCATAAATCAAATCTTTAATACTCCTGTTTATTACCTTTAATTTGGGTTTAAGTCTATTAACAGAATGAACATCCTCCTGGCTTTTGGAATGCTTTCCAGTTTTTATTTAAATAAATTAAGTGTAATAATTATGCAGAATTTATTTAATTCCTATGTATACATATAAAATGTATGTCTTAAAATATTGATTTCTCCAGTAGTAAGTGTAAACTTGAGTTGAGAGTTTTACTCTTTATATAATTTGAGTGATTTAGAATTTTATATTGACATGTATACACACAGAAATTTCACTAGCATACAATCTTAATAGAGGTTTTTAAATGTAATAGGAAGTGAGATATTAAGTTTTTACTCTAAACAGCATACTATCAATTATTATTTTTAGAAACCCAAATGTAATATCCATATTTTAAAAGATAGAAATAAGATTTTCTGGGGGAAAATAGAGACAATGGCCAATTAAATTTTTACTATAATAAAATAAGACCAATTCAATTTTTCAGTTCATGTATATGGAGAATTAGGTCATGTTTGTATAGTGTTGGGTTTCTAGATTTTGGTATTTGCAACTAAATAGAAACCCCCATAGGTGTTATCACAGTTTTAAAATATTTACTCTGACTTTTTAAAATGTGACATTTTGTATCTAATTTTAGGTACATTGTCTCATAAGGCCCCATACCTCATATCTGTCTTCTTATTTCGGGAGAAGTAAAAAAAAAAAAAAAATAGTCTGCCTTTCTATAAGAGAAAACACGCTTTTTGACAGAGACACAGCGAAGAAGAAATCTGTCCTTTTGTATCCGTTTAAGCGATTCCCAAGCATCCGTGAGCTTTGAGAACTTCATTATATAATTGAATTGAATTCATCACAAAAATCTCAGACCCAAGACGTCTTTATTTTGGATCCAAAGGGCTTTTTCCATGCAGCCCTCTGATGGGAGAGGAGACTTATTAACTCTCTTATGGCAATTAACAGACCAATTGACTCCCTTCCATCTCTTACCCACATAAACCCCAGAAAGAGTATATGAGTAATATTTCTGCTTCTGTTTCATAACTCAGTTAACATATAACACATATGCCTACAAATCAGCTGAGACTATGAGAATATACTGATTTTTAAGGACATTTTTTTTCCATTGTTTATAAGCTTGCCCATGTCCACTTATACCAATTTTGGGAAATCATCATCAATTTTTCCCCCTTTATCATACCCTTGTTTCCTTGTTTCATAAGACCGTAAATCTGAAGTCTTACATCTGAAAGCCTTGATTCCTCCAAGATTATGTTTGGGCTTTTTTTTTTTTTATTCACCCACCCAGATAAGTATAGTGAGACTATAGATTATCTTTTTATTTTGGTTTAGACTGCTTAGTTCCTGTGTCAAATATAATTTCTAGAAAGTAAGCTTGGCATAAGTAGAGGCATCGCTGAATATAAGTGTTTGAATTAGACCATGGGGCCCTTGTAATTATAAGGGAGAAATCTTACTTTTGCTTTGGCCTCTCCAGGATCTTAAGAGATGAAATAGGAAGATCTCAAGTGAGAATGCCACCTTGACAAGGGGACAGGGTGTGGGAGGGTGTGGCAGATGGGACTTCAAGGGAGATTCTTACTGCTCCGTGGGGAAGTGTGCCCAGAATCTGCCCTCATTATGGCTGGCGCTTGCCAGTTCTTTTCAAACCTCAGTTTCATGAGGGCCATAAAAAGTCACTTAAAATCGAAAAGAACACCCTGAAGTTAAAACCCACTGTACACTGCCTTGCCTTCCATAGCCTGGAATGTCACCTTTTACCTCCAGTAAATAAAGCCAACATCAACACTGTTCCATGTCTTTTATTTTTTTATGCACTCCATATTCTTCACATGACCCTCTGAACACTTCAAGGGAAATTTCAGTAGTGATCTATATCCTGGTAAAGAGAATTGTCTTTATAATATATAGTTACAGTATATCCGTCATTCTCTTTTTGTTTCATGGACCATTCGCATTGGATTGAGTAAATCTAAAAGGGAATTAAAGGAGACATGATTAATAGTGGTCTACAAAGAAATAATGATATCATAATACTTTTCTTAAAACGATCAGGCATGTGTGTCAAAGCTGCATTCCTCTACAGAGACAATTACACTGTTTGCCTGTGTGCAGGGGGCATTATCTCTTTAACCTTGCTATTTCCGAGAAGCCACCGAAAAGTTCTAATATGTCACAATTCAAATGTCAACATGTTGTTGGAAAGGAAGCTAATAAGTTAAACCTTTAAGAGATGCCAGAAAGAGAGGTGATTCAAACTGTTGAGAGAAGCCCATTGTTTTCTGAAGGGAACTAGGAGTCCAGAATGAAACAAGGTACTACTACAAAGCATTTATCTGGAAGATTTAGAGGAGAAAAGCTTACATACTCATAGCCTTAATCAGGTAAATTTTGAGCAGAAGTTTTTTTGTTTTTTTTTTTTCTCAGCCACTGTTATTTCTAAACAAAGGAAAACAATGAAAGTTAGGCGTGAAAGATACAAACTGCAGTTTTACTCTTTTGTGTTTTTTTAATAGTAATAACATGTAAAAAGTAGTCACTTTCCTAAGGCATTTTGGATTCTATCTGTGTTTTGTTGTAAAGAATCTTAAGTTATAGGAACACATATAGCAGTTTTACCTTTGCCATTATTTTCTAAAAATCAGCTTCAGGTAGTTTGACCACTCTTGAATGAAAGCAATTGTTTTATTGTTTTAAAAAAGAGGAGGGAGGGAACCAAAAACGAAGGAGTAAATAAAAAATTTGATATGGCTTTAGCCCAATTTGGGGTCTGATCTTTTTCTGGAAAAATAAACAATTGGACTTTAGAGCCCCCTACTGGAATAAAGAAGCACATCCTTAGGATTGTGGGCCTCTATTTTTTTTTTTTTTAAAGAACCAAATAATGACAAAGATATGTACATTTCTGTTGCTCTTACCAGACAAGTTTTAGTAGGACACCTAGGAATAATAGTCAGGTGATTTTCCTCGGTTTGAAACATCAGGTGGTCTTTCAAGAACTCTTAGTGTTTATAGCCTCTTCAAAGACTCTATTCTTTCTTTTTCTTAGTCATTTAAGTTATGTAATTCCTCTCTTCCTTCTTATGTTGAGACAGAGCAGTGGCTGCTGGTTTTGGTAGTGCTGTCCTTGTCATCTTGGCTATGATATTTAGAAGGTGGGGGATTTTTTTTGCTCACTGATTTTGTAGGAGAAGGATGGGCAGTCTTCCCCTGTGCGATTCACTGCCTCCACACTCACTAGAGGGGAGGTCAGCTATGGGTGATTTCCGACTCGAGTACACAGCAACAGCGTGATGTTGAAATGCTATTGGTGAGAAACCTTCGAGAGGGAATCGAATGGGAGGAAAGATACCTCATTGGTAATGGGGGGGGGG